AAAGCTCTCTTTCACTCTTTGCCTAATTCCTCGAACATAGCAAAATTGCAGAAATGATAGAAGGGCCTCATTACGTTAATTACAGTTGTCATCGTCATTATTCAAATTAGTACTAGGAATATCATAATACTTTTAAAATGTTTTATTTTTTTATGAACGTGTGTTATTGCATTCGTTTGTTGTTCTTTTTATTGCTGTAATCACAGTCCCGGTCCCAGACGCTCGTAGCTGCTTTTTTATGGTGATAGTGATGATAACAATTTTTATATGGCACTAAGGGGCAGACTTGCTTAAAACTTCACTTTCGAAATACATGTCTACCGCAGAAAATTAATCTTCAAGTAAATTTATTTTCTAGCTATGATCTAGCAATAAAACAAAAAGGTCGATATCAGTCTAATCTACTAGAAACCCAGCAATGGAGGTCTGTCATTGTGGAAAGAATGATAAGCCCAGTAGCGTAGCGAGGGGGGGGCAAGGGGGGCAGCCGCCCCCCCAATGCTCAGAAAGTTGGTCTCTGAGAAAAGTGCAAATCTGCAATAAAATTTGTAGGGGGCCCCCCTACAAATTTTATTGCACAAATGGCATAGCTCATTATAAGCCATCTAAAAAGAGCCGTTTTCCAGCATTCTAAGGGGCGTGGTCTTAAATTTTCCCGGGGGAAGATTCCCGGACCCCCTGCTATTTTTCTTACCTGTTTGCCCCCCCAATCTTCCCGCTCTGGCTACGCCACTGGATAAGTCCTCTATCAGCCTCTCTCTGTCTCTCTCTCTCTCTCTCTCTCTCTCTCTCTCTCTCTCTCTCTCTCTCTCTCTCTCTCTCTCTCTCTCTCTCTCTCTCTCTCTTTCTCTCTCTCTCTCTCTCTCTCTCTCTCTCTCTCTCTCTCTCTCTCCCTCTCTCTCTCTCTCTCTCTCCCTCTCTCTCTCTCTCTCTCTCTCTCTCTCTCTCACACACACACACACACACACACACACACACACACACACACACACACACACACACACACACACACACACACACACACACACACACACACACACACACACGCACACACACACACACACACGCACACACACACACACACGCACACACACACACACACACACACACACACACACACACACACACACACACACACACACACACACACACACACACAGTATACAAACACATGCACACTGATACTGAAATCTGAAGCATCGCAAAACTTAACCTACAAAATTACCAATATCCTCTTGTTTCCGTTGCCTCTTCCAAAGCGAGCCCGATCTAACCTTTCGTCCTTCTGTTGGTCATGTCACTGAGCCGCTCGCCTTCTTGTTGTTACTTACAAGAATCCTCGCTAATCCGTGACATTCAAATTAGCTTCAAATAGACATTTGTGATTGCATGGGGTCTGTTGCATGGCCTAGGTGTAAGCTCATGCAGATTGTACAAGGTGACCCCCACCCCTCCTCTCCGATAAGAATAAAAATAAGAGGAAGAAAAAGAAACTAACTCGCCTTACGTAGGTATATGGCGTGTCATAACAGGAAGTAGCCATAATCATTTAATGGAAGTGATTAGCATAATCGATAGCATGGTCAAGGTACTGGTCGAGAACAGATGTTCAGGTGGTCCCTCCTCCCTTTCCTACCGTCCCCGCCCCTCACACCCCATACCCCTCACCCAAAAGCAGGTTGCTGAAAAAGGGTCATTTCCGGCGTCAGTTAGGCAGTATTCCAACAGGACAATGCTCCCTGCCACAATGCAAAGATTGTTACTGTGCGACAGTGTTTAGCTAGGCGGCCAAAACGCCACTTCTGACATAGACGGGGAAGGGGTCGATATAATTGGACAGGGTAGGACACTCCAATATAAACTTCATGGGGGAGTTCATGTCTATGGAAGTTAATTTTGGCAATATTGGTGTTGGACTTATGTTGGCCTTTGGGAGGAATAGTATAGCACTGGATTGCCACTGCATCATCAGGCATGCGAGCAAGTCATTTTCAAAGTCTGACCAGTCCTTGTTGTAAACAGGAGAATCAGTCGGAGAGACAGCCCCGGTACAAGTATTAAGGGAGGAGTAAGGTTGGGCAGGAATAGGTTTGCCAATGAGGTCAGTCAGGGTAGATATTGCACGAGCTTGGGATAGTGCATGAACGACCAGAACGACTGCGAATAGATATTTTTGCCTACCTGTATTTGGACATGCCTCTTTAGTAGATCAAAAAAGTACCATCGCGTTGGATTTTTCCAACAATTGGGAGAACCGTTTAGACTTTCGGCAACGCGATGTGCTTTTTGACGTCACCGTTTAAACTCCGCCCTTTTCGCCTGAAAACAAGCCTGAAATTCGTTACTAGAGACCCACCTCGTTTCTATTGTGCTTAATTTTCATCAGAGACACCTAGCCGTGGTTATGTTTTACATTGGAAATGCGTTAAATACATTTCTAGATCATTCTGTATCTAACAATCAGAGAAATAAACCATAAACACAGAGATTATATTTGTTGTTGATAAACTCACTGGATATATCTTTATCTTTCCTCTCAAGTACACGGTGTCTCAACTGATTTCTTCGATTTTGTATATTGTCAATAACGTGTTTGTATCTAATTTGAACATGTTCTGATAGCAATGAGTATCATAAAGTTTAAGATCAATTTTGGAAAGTGAATGAAATTAAACATGCTCATATAAAGCCAGTAAAATAACAAAGAATGTATGTCGTTACTGTAATCGGATGATGCGTGCCTTATAGCCGGGTGAAACATGCAACTTCACGGAGGGAGGGAGGGAGAGAGCGAGAGCGAGAGAGAGAGAGAGAGAGAGACAGACAGACAGACAGACAGACAGACAGAGGGAGAGATCAGGGACGTCAAGGGGGGGGGGAGCTCTGATCGTAGATTAAAAATTTTCCTAGAATAGAGAAAAATGATGAGACAGAGAGAGAGGGAGATAGCAGGGGAAAGAGAGAGAGGGTTTTTTTTGGTGGTGTGGGGGGGCGGTCTCTGATCGTTGCATTAAAATGCTCCCAGAACAAATTAAAAAAAAATCGATCTGATGGCGCCCTAGAAACTGAATGTGCCTAATTCGCTCGCCAGTCGTACCCCCTCTCCCCCCACCTCCAAATAAAAGCTGAAATGACATCCCTGAGAGAGAGAGAGAGAGAGAGTGAGTGAGTGAGTGAGAGAGTGAGTGAGTGAGTGAGTGAGTGAGTGCGTGAGAGAGAGCGAGAGCGAGAGCGAGAGCGAGAGCGAGAGCGAGAGCGAGAGCGAGAGAGAGAGAGAGAGAGAGAGAGAGAGAGAGAGAGAGAGAGAGAGAGAGAGAGAGAGAGAGAGAGAGAGAGAGAGAGAGAGAGAGTGAGTCTCTAGACAAGTCGAGCAGCCATTTGGGCCCTATAAGCCTACTCAAAAGGTGTATAGAGGTGAAAGCCGTAGAAGGACGGGGGCAGAAGGAAGATGGGGTGGTAAGGCGATAGGTAGCACTGTTGGGAGGAGGACAATATGGGGAACAATAAGAATGAAGAGTAGTAATAAAGGGGGTGAGGATAGATATTGAAGAAGACTGTGCAGTAGAAGATGGAGAGGAGGATGTTGGGAGAGAGGAAAGGGTGCATTCTGAAGGTTGAGTAATGACCTGGGTGGATGATTCGGAATGGATAGACTTGATTGAAGACGGGTCGGAGCCGTGGTCAGAGGAGAGGCAGGGGTCGGGAAACCAATGAGATCAAATTTAGATAGGCTAGTTGATGAAGGGACAAGCTTTTATGCCCATAATAAGGGTGAAACATCTTCAATCATTGGCCATGATGAGCCTGAAATAAAAAGGGAGAGGAAACACTCTACCCTTCGGAGTCCCCATTCTCTTTCAGCTCTCACACCTTAGGAACTGGACACAAGAATGGGATGATGAAAAAGAGAAAGAAAGGAAAGGGAGAGGAGAAAAGACCATACAAAATTAGTTGAGGTGAGGGCTGAGGTTCAAGGAAGGGATGATCCCCTACATTGGGCCCCAGTCTCCATCTCCTGTGCCCCCCCCCCCTACACAACAACAACGAGCAAGGGGTTATGGGGGTGCAGTGTCTAAAACAGTGGTTCCCAAACTGGGGGCCATATAGCAGAATGTAGGGGGCCATAATCTGAGGCTATGTAGAGATAAAATCAAAGGAGTTTAGCGGGTAAGCAGCCAGTGGAGGGAACTTACAGGTTCAGTACAGCTTTGTGCAATGCCTTGCTGCCAGACACATGAGTAATACATCCTTTTTTTTCTTTTTTTTCTTTTTTTGGTTTTTATATGGACCTAATGAGTGTAGGACTGTAGACAGTCACTGTAGTCACGGGTTATGGTTGGGGGTGGGGGCCATGGACAAGGATCATGTATGAAAAGTGGGTAACGACCAGAAAAAGTTTGGGAACCACTGGTCTAAAACAATGATCTATGGGAGAGCATAAGCAAAGAATGGAATAGCATTCTATGCGAGTATGGAACAGAGAGAGAGAGAGAGAGAGAGAGAGAGAGAGAGAGAGAGAGAGAGAGAGAGAGAGAGAGAGAGAGTGTGTGTGTGTGTGTGTGTGTGTGTGTGTGTGTGTGTGTGTGTGTGTGTGTGTGTGTGTGTGTGTGTGTGTGTGTGTGTGTGGACAAATTCACAAACTATTTCAGCATATTCATATTGGTGATACAAGCTATGACTATTTGCAAAATGGTCTTTACCATTCATTTGTTAAAGTTCAAAACTAGACTGCTATTCAATAATGAGATCCTGAATTAGTCATGAGAAACAGGACTTTTACTGGAGTTTTCTTAATTGTGGAAAACTTTTTATTTATCATAAATATTTTTCCATTATGGTAGTGATGGTAAAGAAACGCATTTATCTAGTTTTTATTGCATGCATTACTTCAACCTTTACAATGAAAGGCAAAGAATGGTCCAGTGATGCTTTAAATAATAGGAAACATTTGCTTATAATGGCTTTTACTAAATTAAAGCAGAGGTAAGTATAATCATACAAGAACTGCAGGCATCTTTATTCCTTCAAAGAAAACAGAAAATTAACAAATAAATTTCATCACCACTTTTACATGAAAATACAAAATTCAAGCCAGTCATTCAGCTGGCTAACTCCTTTGAAAATGTGCCAGTGCATTAAAAAACATCCTACTATACTTTATTCCTTCAAAGAAAACAGAAAAATTAGAAATAAATTTTATCACCACTTTTACATAAAAATACAAAAATCAAGCCAGTCATTAAGCTGGCTAACTCCTTTGAAAATGTGCCAGAGCATTTAAAAATAACATCCTACTATACTCTGCTTCTTCCTGATTAAGCATCCTGTGGGTATGAGACTCCAACTTGCTTCCTCATTGACTCCATGATTTCTGCCAATATCAGAGTTTCGTCCAGGCTGATGGAGGGGCTCTCAAGCAAGCCTTGGGGAATTTTTAGGAAATTCTTTAGATATATATATAAATATGCTACCTAACAGAATTACAAATATTTTCATACACAAATGTAAATACATATATGTATACTACTATGAAAGAGCTAAATGAATAAACACATGCAGACTTATCCAGAGCCTGTCAAATAAGCAGCTAGAAAGCCAGAAATACACACCTTCCTGCAAGCATCGCCTCACTTCTGCAGCTTCGTACATCATTCCTTGCCCGTGTCTGAAGATAAAGCTATGCCCCAAGTCTGGTAACGGTGAATCAAAATTTCCTGATGGTGTTTCCATGTGAACAGGACTCCAGACTGGATTTGACACCTAGTATGCAAATAACAAACAGAAAGGTAAAGTTTAGCCAATATTTACTATAATGAAATCATTTATCTTTTTACTGCCATTTCTTGGTGCAAATACTTTGCTGCTTTATAAACCTCCTCTTACACAAATTGTGGGATATAAAATAACTTTACCAATATACATATTATTCCTTCTATATGCTCAGTATGTAATGTCTGATTGTATCTAAAATGTAACAATTTAAGCAATTTATCTGAAAGTATAAAATCCACATTATCTGTCTTGGTTTAAAACAATATACATACTTTCTTTTCAAGTTGGGTAACAAATAAATATTACCAATAACCAATAAATTTCATGGCATACCTTCAGAGTACCCTTTGTACCAATGACAATGCCTTCACAGGGTAATTCGCATCGAAATGAACAGTTCAGAGTAGCAACCCTTCCCTTGGAGTAGACGATAGTAGCACTTGTTGTTGCATCAACACCCTGTAATAAATCAAAATAAAAACATCTGTGAACTGGAAAGGCAAGAATGGGAACCAATATAAATTTGAGTAGATAAAATAAAATAATGTTAACAAATAATTAATAATTCCTAGAAAAGAATAATAACCTTTATGTTGTGTTGAAGCCAACAAAACCAGATATAGCTTGTTCCAATGCATTTTTTCATGAACACAAATACTTGCCTGTGTTATTATATGTAATACATATGATGTGTATATAATATCTAAAATGTCACCTTGACCACATACCCCCAAAAATCAATCTCTTGATAAAATATAAATGAAATAATCACATAAAATAAAAAAAAAATAAAAATTCTCTTGTTATCTCCAATAGATGTAATTTAATAAACTATCATTATGTTTTTCTATGAAACTGCTTGGGTGTACATTATGCATTAAAAGAGAATCTTATAAATACAAAATAAAATAAATCTAAAAAAATACAATAGCACAAATATCTAATGATGAAATAAAAAAAACATAAACATTTCTCACTTCTTCATTCAGATGACCAGCAGCCACCACCTTCTCCGGCCTCTCACCCCCCATGACCAGTGAAGCAAATTGGACACAGTAAACACCTAGATCCAAGGTAGACCCACCTCCAAGCTCCTTTTTCCTTGAATATAAGTAAAATGTCATCTCATAAATGTACTCAAGATCTACAATTGAATAGAAGGAGCGACTTTTAAAATACATTTCTGGTTTACATTAATGCAATATTTCCAATGCAAGTGAAGGTAATAGAAAAATAATATCACTCCAAAGATAAAAACAAAAAAAGTAAAGTTCTAAAACCAGCCAGTACTTACACAGAACGTTGAATGTTCTCCAAAGGCTGGCCGAAAGAACAGAATACCTGTACCACTTCTCCTATTTCACCAGCATTTATTCTCTTCATCATTTCCTTGTACACTGGGAAAAATCTAGACCATACAGCCTATAGAATGATCATTATGAATATAAGTGATAAATCTTTCAAATTCCTCATAAGACAGGAAGATACATAATATCAATCTAATCTTATAAATTATTTTTATGGTTACAGACATAGCAGCTTTTGTGGTCTACATTTCTCAAGCAATAACTTTAAACTAGATCACAGAAGTTAAAACATAATCAAAGTCATACAAAATGACACTTTAAGAGAAATAGACAGTAACCAATATTTCAACCATCTTCAAATAAACAAGCTAAACATGTCCCCTGAATGCACACCTCCATCAAGAAGACTTTTTTCTGGCGAGCAAGGGCCACCAGCTCCTTCGTCTCCTTCACATTCATGCACAGGGGTTTTTCGCACAAAACGTGCTTTCCAGCATTGATCATCAGTTTAGCCACTGGCAGGTGGAATGGATGAATTGTGCCAATGTACACAATCTCTGTGGCAGATCAGCAGAAGTCAAATTATATAAAAGGAAAAATAAACCTGTGAAAAAAAACAAGATATTTTTCAGTCACAACAAAATCCAACTAAAAAAACTCAACACAGCACTGACCAACATCAGGGTCCTTGGATAACTCCTCGTAAGATCCATAGGCCTTTTCAGCCCCGTGCTTCTTAGCAAAGGCCTGGGCATCATCCAGCGACCGAGCCCCAACAGCAACCACACAGTGGTCATCCTTCAGGGCTTTCATGGCAGTTACAAAGTCTGAGGAGATCTTTCCTGCACTTGCAATGCCCCATCGTGTTGCCATCTTAACTGAAACTTGAGAGGATATTTGCTTTGATATTATCTTCTTTTTGAAATACAAACATTTGAACAGTTTGACAAAATTTAATTTAAGTTCTTCATATCCATCATAATGAACTATTTCAATATCAAGATATAAGAAACAACCAAAACATCATCTGATTCCTTAACAAATTATCACATGACATAGTACTGTTTGAATGATATAAATTCATGGCATAAAGCATATAATTAAACAGAACTCTAAATATTATTCTACGTGTTAATTGTAACATCATTTAATATGATGCCACATATTTCACTCACAGACTAAAACCTATCAAAAATTATTTACTAATAAATAAAATGAATACCATGATATGGTTGGCTTAATCCCTGCAAAAGTCTGTATCCTTGGCAATTAAATCTAGAAGTTTTTGAAATTCATTAATACCTATATCAAAAACTGCCTTGTACTACTACCTGAATCTCCGAGTGAAAAATTGAAATTTCCCAAATTGCTTACCAACAAGTCAGACCTCAGTAGTAAATCCTTATGATATGTTTACTATCACTATCTTACCTAAAAGTAGAATGAGCCTATGTGATAAGATACATTCTCTTGATCAGAATCACGTCAAGATATCAGCTGGAGTGGAACGTACGTCTGATACGTAATATTAGTATCATTTCACATGAAACCACTGTCATTCAGTTATTCTGATAGAATGTTGTTTAGACATAAGAACGTACATTATAATCACTGTTTTTCAGTATTAGTTGATTGAATTGTAGGACATCTTTCATTTATGATATATTCAATAAATGTTATTCAATAATAAAAAATGACATACCAAAAAGTGGCCACTCAAATAATCCCAACAGCCTCCATACTTACCAGTGGCCTAGCAAAGGGCCTATAAACCTCAAAAACATACACTCTGGTAAAAGTAAAACTTATTTCTTTCTTTAAGATAAATCACCAATGAGGTTAGAATAAGGTCTACAATTGTGAGACACAAATTTTCAATACCATCTGACATCTGTGTCCCAGCAAGTTACTACAACTATAATGCACATCACTGAAGTATCCAGGCAGGAGCCAATAAGTTCATTACAATTTTCATGTTGAGATAAAGTGCAAACTACAAGTGGTTGGTGCTAATCTACGAGGATACATTTTTTATGATATCACTAAATGGATATCATATATTAAGTCTACTGAAAACATTTTTTGGACTGCTCTATCAATTATACTTCACACAAGGCTATCCAAAACCAAAAATTAACTTAATACTAGACAAAAATTAACAATTAGCAGACTTAACCTAATCTTCAGCCTGATTTTGAACATTTATTGCTGAGAATTAGTGAGGTGAAGCTAACCAAAAGGAAGCTCATAATTGTTTCTTTTTTCTAATTATTATTATTTCTTATGTGAAAAGTTGTTACCCCTTACACTGACCTTAGTCATTCGTCACGTACCACAGACAGTCAGGAATGCAAAGGTCATTTACCACCTCCTCCTGGATATTTGAGAAGTCTCAACTAAAAACATACATTTAATAATAAAATAATTAGTAATACTACTTGGCTATCCTATCAATACATGCAAAAATACATTAATCACCTCCTACAATGCACAGATATGCGTGACAACTCCGTAAGAGTCAACCGAATGAATAATACTAAGAGCACCTTCTCCTGCCGTCCCTTCGTCGGAAATCTCAGGACGTCCAACAGACCACAGCGATGCCACGTTCTCTTTGTAGCTTCTCTCAGAGAAAATCTTTTTTCCTCGTAAACTAATGCATTATCTTATAATTCCATTATATATCTCGTCCCTTCTTTCTCGAAGAGACTGTAACTAGTATACTGTTTTACTTGAAAGACGAATAGAAGATTAGGTAGCAACTAACAGAGCTGACATTTGTAACTTGTTCTGATGTTTAGTTTTCTTGGATTTAGTTTAGATCACGGCATCAACCTGTTGGCGTACGAGCCTCTGTAGTCGCTCCCCACGGAAACCAAGTAGGTTGGGACGGCTCCCACTTATTGGTTACTGTAATGTAGATCTCTGACCTCGTAAGCAGATAAATTTGGTGGAATCTCATCAATTGTTCTATTGTCAATCATTTCCTCAACACAATGGAATTTACATATCAAAATAAAGCGTGAAAATGTGTAGATATAACACTGATTTATTTTAATCAAAAGGACGTCTGTAGGTCCATACCCATACGGCAAAGGGTGTTCAAGTGAGCATGGAGCATAGAGCATAGAGCAATAACACCTGCAATATGGTTAAATTTCGCAAAACATAACACTTGTATAAAATTTTACACCTTGATACAAAGATTAACACATAGTTAATTGTAACAATGCCGAGATCCAGCGTCGAATTAGTATCATTTTCTATAATGGTGGAACTCAGGTCTATGCTTTTAATTATTGTGTGAAATTTACAAATTATTTTTTTATTCTAATCTAGGTGTTACCATCTTTTCTGTAAGGAATATATATTTGTTGTTATTTTCGGTTAAACAGAAATATTTCTCCTTCCTTCCTTCCCTCGGCCTGTCTGTGTATATATAGCTAGGTAAATAGATAGGCAGATAGATAGATATGCATAGATATATGTTGGGTTGTGTCTTTACACTTTCACTGAATGTATATGTAACTTAGAATCTCTCTCTCTCTGTCACTGGCATCGTTATTATCTGATGTATTTTCATTATGTGCTATATATATATATATGTATATATATATATATATATATATATATATATATATATATATATATATATATATATATATATGTGTGTGTGTGTGTGTGTGTGTGTGTGTGTGTGTGTGTGTTTGTGTGTGTGTGTGTGTGTGTGTGTGTGTGTGTGTGTGTGTGTGTGTGTGTGCTATATATATATATATATATATATATATATATATATATATATATAAAACCAAAAATTAACTTAATACTAGACAATAATCAACAATTAGCTTACTTAACCTAATCTTCAGCTTGATTTTGAACACTTATTGCTGAGAATTAGTGAGGTGAAGCTAACCAAAAGGAAGCTCATAATTGTTTTTTTCTAATTATTATTATTTCTTATGTGAAAAGTTGTTACCCCTTATACTGACCTTAGTCATTCGTCACGTACCACAGACAGTCAGGAATGCAAAGGTCATTTACCACCTCCTCCAGGTCATTAGAGAAGAGTCAACTAAAACACACATTTAATAATAAAATAATCAGTAATACTACTTGGCTATCCTATCAATACATGCAAATATACATTAATCACCTCCTACAAGGCACAGATATGCGTGACAACTCCGTAAGAGTCAACCGAATGAATAATACTAAGAGCACCTTCTCCTGCCGTCCCTTCGTCGGAAATCTCAGGACGTCCAACAGACCACAGCGATGCCACGTTCTCTTTGTGGCTTCTCTCAGAGAAAATCTTATTTCCTCGTAAACTAATGTATTATCTTATAATTCTATTTTATATCTCGTCCCTTCTTTCTCGAAGAGATTGTAAATAATATACTATTTTACTTGAAAGACGAATAGAAGATTATGTAGCAACTAACAGAGCTGACATTTGTAACTTGTTCTGATGTTTAGTTTTCTTGGATTTAGTTTAGATCACGGCATCAACCTGTTGGCGTACGAGCCTCTGTAGTCGCTCCCCACGGAAACCAAGTAGGTTGGGACGGCTCCCACTTATTGGTTACTGTAATGTAGATCTCTGACCTCGTAAGCAGATAAATTTGGTGGAATCTCATCAATTGTTCTATTGTCAATCATTTCCTCAACACAATGGAATTTACATATCAAAATAAAGCGTGAAAATGTGTAGATATAACACTGATTTATTTTAATCAAAAGGACGTCTGTAGGTCCATACCTGTTATATTACTATTACGGCAAAGGGTGTTCAAGTGAGCATAGAGCATAGAGCATAGAGCAATAACACCTGCAATACGGTTAAATTTCGCAAAACATAACACTTATATAAAATTTTACACCTTGATACAAAGGTTAACACTGATAGTTAATTGTAACAATGCCGAGATCCAGTGTCGCATTAGTATCATTTTCTATAATGGTGGAACTCAGGTCTATGCTTTTAATTATTGTGTGAAATTTACAAATTATTTTTTTATTCTAATCTAGGTGTTACCATCTTTTCTGTAAGGAATATATATTTGTTGTTATTTTCGGTTAACAGAAATATTTCTCCTTCCTTCCTTCCCTCGGCCTGTCTGTGTATATATAGCTAGGTAAATAGATAGGCAGATAGATAGATATGCATAGATATATGTTGGGTTGTGTCTTTACACTTTCACTGAATGTATATGTAACTTAGAATCTCTCTCTCTCTGTCACTGGCATCGTTATTATCTGATGTATTTTTCATTATGTGCTATATATATATATATGTATATATATATATATATATAGATATATATATATATATATATATATCTATATATATATATATGTGTGTGTGTGTGTGTGTGTTTGTGTGTGTGTGTGTGTGTTTGTGTGTGTGTGTGTGTGTGTGTGTGTGTGTGTGTGTGTGTGTGTGTGTGCTATATATATATATATATAATATATATATATATATATATATATATCTTAAAACCAAAAATTAACTTAATACTAGACAATAATCAACAATTAGCTTACTTAACCTAATCTTCAGCTTGATTTTGAACACTTATTGCTGAGAATTAGTGAGGTGAAGCTAACCAAAAGGAAGCTCATAATTGTTTCTTTTTTCTAATTATTATTATTTCTTATGTGAAAAGTTGTTACCCCTTATACTGACCTTAGTCATTCGTCACGTACCACAGACAGTCAGGAATGCAAAGGTCATTTACCACCTCCTCCAGGTCATTAGAGAAGAGTCAACTAAAACACACATTTAATAATAAAATAATCAGTAATACTACTTGGCTATCCTATCAATACATGCAAATATACATTAATCACCTCCTACAAGGCACAGATATGCGTGACAACTCCGTAAGAGTCAACCGAATGAATAATACTAAGAGCACCTTCTCCTGCCGTCCCTTCGTCGGAAATCTCAGGACGTCCAACAGACCACAGCGATGCCACGTTCTCTTTGTAGCTTCTCTCAGAGAAAATCTTTTTTCCTCGTAAACTAATGCATTATCTTAAAATTCCATTATATATCTCGTCCCTTCTTTCTCGAAGAGACTGTAACTAGTATACTGTTTTACTTGAAAGACGAATAGAAGATTAGGTAGCAACTAACAGAGCTGACATTTGTAACTTGTTCTGATGTTTAGTTTTCTTGGATTTAGTTTAGATCACGGCATCAACCTGTTGGCGTACGAGCCTCTGTAGTCGCTCCCCACGGAAACCAAGTAGGTTGGGACGGCTCCCACTTATTGGTTACTGTAATGTAGATCTCTGACCTCGTAAGCAGATAAATTTGGTGGAATCTCATCAATTGTTCTATTGTCAATCATTTCCTCAACACAATGGAATTTACATATCAAAATAAAGCGTGAAAATGTGTAGATATAACACTGATTTATTTTAATCAAAAGGACGTCTGTAGGTCCATACCCTGCAAAGGGTGTTCAAGTGAGCATGGAGCATAGAGCATAGAGCAATAACACCTGCAATACGGTTAAATTTCGCAAAACATAACACTTGTATAAAATTTTACACCTTGATACAAAGGTTAACACTGATAGTTAATTGTAACAATGCCGAGATCCAGTGTCGCATTAGTATCATTTTCTATAATGGTGGAACTCAGGTCTATGCTTTTAATTATTGTGTGAAATTTACAAATTATTTTTTTATTCTAATCTAGGTGTTACCATCTTTTCTGTAAGGAAAATATATTTGTTGTTATTTTCGGTTAAACAGAAATATTTCTCCTTCCTTCCTTCCCTCGGCCTGTCTGTGTATATATAGCTAGGTAAATAGATAGGCAGATAGATAGATATGCATAGATATATGTTGGGTTGTGTCTTTACACTTTCACTGAATGTATATGTAACTTAGAATCTCTCTCTCTCTGTCACTGGCATCGTTATTATCTGATGTATTTTCATTATGTGCTATATATATATATATGTATATATATATATATATATATATATATATATATATATATATATATATATATATATATATATGTGTGTGTGTGTGTGTGTGTGTGTGTGTGTGTGTGTGTGTTTGTGTGTGTGTGTGTGTGTGTGTGTGTGTGTGTGTGTGTGTGTGTGTGTGCTATATATATATATATATATATATATATATATATATATATATATAAAACCAAAAATTAACTTAATACTAGACAATAATCAACAATTAGCTTACTTAACCTAATCTTCAGCTTGATTTTGAACACTTATTGCTGAGAATTAGTGAGGTGAAGCTAACCAAAAGGAAGCTCATAATTGTTTTTTTTCTAATTATTATTATTTCTTATGTGAAAAGTTGTTACCCCTTATACTGACCTTAGTCATTCGTCACGTACCACAGACAGTCAGGAATGCAAAGGTCATTTACCACCTCCTCCAGGTCATTAGAGAAGAGTCAACTAAAACACACATTTAATAATAAAATAATCAGTAATACTACTTGGCTATCCTATCAATACATGCAAATATACATTAATCACCTCCTACAAGGCACAGATATGCGTGACAACTCCGTAAGAGTCAACCGAATGAATAATACTAAGAGCACCTTCTCCT